ATTCACAGATTTTTCACAGATTTTTCACAGATTCTGGAGGTCATGATTTCGAGATTCACAGATTTTTCACAGACTTTTCACAGATTCTGGAAACCTGGATTCACAGATTTTTCACAGATTTTTCACAGAAATAATTATTTGTTGATTTCCAAAGGTTGCCAGGGAATCAGGGTTATAAACCTAAGTCCTTGGTCCAAGGCCTCTCTTGAGCCGCCCTTGCGACGGCATTGGATTTCTGAAACTAGATCGTCGGCCTGGGCTTTCGGCGGTTTGCGGATTGTAGGCTGCACTTGGGTTTTATCAGACACATCGAACAGACTTCGAACCCTGAAGGATCGGACGGCAGACTCGGTAAATCCAAAGTCGATTATCCGATTGTGTATGCAAACTCTTGCATATGAAGCATCTTTACTTTCAGCAGAAGCCGAGGTGCACCTTGAGACTGTTCGCTTTACTTCACGACCTGTTTAAACAGGCGCTTGGGAAGGGCACCGGATTGTTTCGAGATCCTGTGCTGCTGCGCCACGCAAGCTGTGCCGTGCACTTGCGCACGCAGACACCGAAGACTGGGAAGTCGCTTCGATTTGGTGGTGCATACAGTTTCAAGTTTCCTAGGTCACGCAGGACACGTTTGGTTCTGAAATCCTGCACCCCAGACCAGCGGCAACGTCTCCAGCCTCAAAATCAGTATGCTCAGAATTCGAACACTGGCACCAGCTTCATTGAAGCACACCACTAACTGTCAGATCTTCACCGTGATGTGCCAAGCCTTACTGGAAACTTACAGGTTTCGCAGTGGGGGTGCCTGATGGATTCTGATCCGCTGGCAGGTCAAAGATGTGAAGTCTGACTACTTCAACGTGCTGATCCAAGTGGCCTGGGGTTTGGTTGTACAGATTTAAGCTCACAGTGTGGGTCAGCTACCCTGAGTGGGGTCCAGCTCAGCTTTCAGCGATTAATCAATGCGCGTGGTCCGTCGTGCCTTGCGGGTGTTGCATTCAGCCTTTTTAAGGCTGCTTTTGTGATGCTCTCTTCGATCACGCAGGCTTTCTGATTGAGGCATTCCAACTACTGCAAACTCATGAGTAGCTAGGCATCGCCAGTGAGTGCCAGGACCCGAGCTGTACAGATGAGGCTGTAGTCGTTGGACTCGCAACGCCACTGGTCAATTTGCATCCTGTCCAGTGCTCTGCGTCCTGACACTCGTCGGGAGAACAAGCTGAAGGGGGCCCCAAACGCTTCGAAGCTGGAGCCCGAATCGCAGCTGCGACGAGGGATACTCAACCGGAATGCGACAGCTTTCTTATTTGTAGCAGGGATGCAGTTTGAGATTTTAAGCGTTGGATCCTAAACTCCTGGTGTCCTAGACCTTGACACCGATTCGTTATGACAGCGACTGTTTTCAGCGCCTCCAACTTCACTCGGACTGAGGCGCTCCAGAGTTCCTTCTATGTCTGCTGCTCGGGTTTCGACAGGAGCGCTGGATCGGGAGCTTCTAAGAAGGCTTTCAAGCCGCGGTGGTTTGGGGTTTCAACGAAGTTCAACAGGCATAGCCGCGGATTTGAGACATGTGGAAGCTATGGCAACCATCGTTTAGAACGTATTGCTTGGCATTTTTGGATTGGGTTCGGTTAGCCCTTGGAAGTAGTGGGAATATCAGCAGACAATAATCAGCGGCAGTTTTCGCGACGACAACTACACCAGCATCAACAGCGGCAGCGCACCCCGGCACCACTGACAAAAACAGCATCACGGTTATACCGCACCTCGCCCACCACACCCATCAACGCCGCCGCCGCCCAAGCCCCCGCCGCTGCCACCACCACCAACAACACCACCACCACTAGCGGCAGCAGCAGCATCATCATTATGCCGTTATTAGCAATGCTAAGGCTATTATTTGTTCTAGTCGTTATGGCGGTGTGATGATGTGATGACTATGCTCATGATGAAAGTGATGACGACGACGATGAAGATGAGCATGAGGATTAGGATGATGTTGATGATGATGATGATGATGATGATGATGATGATGTTGATAATGATGATGATGATGATGATGATGATGATGATGATTGTCACCTCGCCGCCTCTTTACTCGTGAAATTTGCAAGAACTTGGAGTGAACTTGGGGCTAATTGTCTAGTCCGAACTTATGCGCTGACAGGGTGGACACCCCATCCCCGATGTACTGTCAGTTCATCCGCATAAGTTCAACACCGCACAAAGCACACTGCGAAAGCCGGACCAGGAGACGCTTCGAAGAACGCGAGGTGCATAAAACTCTTTGGCAAAGTTTGAAGTTTGGCTGTTATGCGTTCGGTTCAGCGAGCAAAACACCATGAAGAAAGTCTGAAGTCCACAACTGATTCGTGGATTTGAGCCCGAGCCGCAAAATCCGACCACAGTCGGTTTCCAATCTAGGCCACGGCGATTTATACGCATCGGGGACAACTGGATGTAGTCGAGTAGCGTATGACCCGGATCCGCACGGCTTGAACCCGCCTCCGGGGGAGAAGGGTTGAGGAAGTCTATCGCTTTTTCGTATCATCAGCATTGATGTCTAGGTTGGGCATCCCACGTACAGTGTACGTGTTCCACATCCAAAACGGCTTGACCCAAAGCAGATGCCTGCGCCCCGAGCTGAGCCACCCCGATCCTCTCCATGAATAAGTTTCAAGCACCGGCCGCAGTCGTATACTCTGCACACCTGTCCAAACCTCGCAGGTTGCAAAGTTACTCGGCAACAACTTCAACTACCTCGTCACGACGAGGTCTTGGGCCTTGGGTTTCGCTTTCCGGATTTGCCCCTTGAGGGCACAAGGGTGCTTTTCTTCCACTGTGCCGTTTCGAGTTTTGCTGGCGACGGTGGGTCGAGGCGATGCTGGCACGTTTCACTGTGGAGACTCAGACTTGGTCAGGATCGGCGATGCCAACCAGCCCAGGAACCCAGAGTGGGCTTTGGGCCTTTGGATTTCAGCATTTCGGTTGGCGGCTTCATTTCCAGACTTCCTGAAGCCTTGTGCCGCGGTGCCACAAATGGCATTATCAATTCTTCTGTGATTGTGCCTTCTTTGGCAGCCCACAATAACAGCCGGACACGATGCGCTTATCTTGTCTGGTCCTCGTGCTGCAGACTACAAGTGGTGCACCCGCAACATAGAGACATGGGAATGAAAGGCCATGACAAGCACACGTACGAACCATGTCAGGTCGAATTGAACAAGCTTCTCTGAGGCTGGAGATACTGCAGCAGGTCGACAGCATACGCACGAAGGAGGCTTGCTGATGTTCCAGCTTTTGGTCTTTGGGGCTATGCTGCTTGCAGAGTTCGGGGTAGGGCTTTGCTTTAAGCTCCACGCTCAAGCTAGGCTTCTGTGTTTCTCTGTGTATTGCTTCAAGAAGCGAACTTCAGATTAAAAATCGAGGTCTTCGGCAACCTTCATAGCCTGTCTGAAGGTGGACGACAGCATCACCAGCATGCTGGACCGGATAGAAAAGTCGTAGCCTCGGCTTTTTCGGGGAGTTTTCTTCGAATTCCGGCTGTATGGGGCTTCAGGTGCACATCGCTCTCAGTGCTGTTGTAGACGGCTGAGCCATCATTCCAACGTGCAGGTCCCAGGTACCATGAGGTTGTCATGGAAGACTTTGAGCTTAGGATTCGCGTCTCCTCCTGACACATAATTATGAGCTGTGATTCTAATCTTGGTACCCAGTAGGTATAGTTGTCTCCAGGGCCTTACCTGATTTTGACTATTCTAGCACTGACAGGGAGTTGTTCTCGGGGCAGGTTCCAGTGTTTGCGAGGAAGGAGACATTGTATTGTGTATGGGTCTTGAGGCTTCGCGCGTGCGTTCTCTCACTCTTCTGTTTCGTTCTGATACAGAACTTTCAAATCCGAGAGCGAAGCAAGCAGGCTGAATCCCGGCTCAGAATCAGCCGATCAGCCCCGACCCTCGGGTGTTTTAGGGATTCTTGAGCCCCGAACTCACAAAGACGAAACTAAACCCTGAGCCCTCAGAACTTTCACCCCGTCAGTAAAGAACTGTAAAGAACCCAAGCTTTTTTCGCAGGCTCCGGATCATCAACGAACAAAGTCGTCGATGGCACCAGCGGCTCGAAGATAGGGCGGACGACCCCAGGCGTGCACAAATCCTCATGCGGAGACAATGATTGAACAAGCAGGCTGCAGCAGGAGCTTGCGTCACATTCAACTCCCCACATCCAGTTCTTCACCCCCTCCACGCTCTGCAGCTTGAAATGCTGAGTGCTGACGAGCCGTTTAGGGCTGCTTTGGATTGCAGTTCGAGGTAGGATTTGAGATTGCGATGAGATTCTGTGCAATGACAGCTTTCGCTGAACTTCCTCTTTCCTTGCCGCAGTTTGTTTCGGATTGTTCTCAGTCACAGATGCCTCGCCAGCTTCAATGGGGTGAAGAGATGCTCGTTGGCCTTTGCTCCTAGACGCAGTTCAACCATTTCAATTCTTGAGCCATGGGGACCCAATGGGACGCATGGGAATTTTCAGCAACCTTGTACCAAGAAGGAACTACTGTTGTTGTCGCTGCAGGATGTCAACCCGCTGGAGCTTGTTTTGCAAATCTTTGTGACTCTTGCTTGTGGGAATTGCTGTGCCTTCTCGAGGCCGCGTCTGCTCAACGAACCTTCAAGCTAGTGCTTGTGCTGTCTCCTTGCAGGGCCGTGGTCATGGTTTCACCCGTGTCCTGTGCTCAGTGCTTGGGAGGGTGGCCAAAACCATTTAACAGACCCATAGTTCCCGTAATTTGGATTCACGACCCGAGTTCTTGGTGGTTTTTGGTGGGTGCGTGGGATCCCGAACACGTTCCAGATCCATTCAATGGCGCGGCATTGCCCATGCTTGCCAACCCAAGCCCCGACGGACCCGACATGCTTTGAGATGTGCTGATTACGCGTGGTTTTCTTTACAAGGACCTCCCGCCAGGCTGCATTCGTAATTGGTCAGGAGTACGGACGATCCTCCTGCTTGGAGTCGTGGAATGATTTCATAGTCATTTTGGACGCAAGCTCTCGCAGGTCAATGACTTCTAAGGGTAGAAAAAATGGGCCTGGCCTGCAGGTTCCTGCCTGCAATAACCTTTGCCCCAAAAGGTCGGAGGCAATGAAGGAAGAGGACCTGGCCGCCATTTTTTCAGCTGCTGCCTCGGCCCGGCCTGGTGTTGCTCGAAGTTCCTCCGTTTCTCGGATTTGTCTTGGTTTTGTGTATGCTTCCGTGTACTTTGTGTATTGCTTGTACCTGGGTTTTGGATTCAGCGAAGCTTTGACCTTAACCAGCGCAGTAATGCGCAGTAGGGCTCAGCTGGAATTTCTATGCCTATAGAAGCTTTGCCAGCAGCACCCCGGACTCAGACTGTACACTTGTCGGCTTGGGCTTCAGAGTGTACTCTTTTTCGGTTTTGGCGCTGCAGGCCATCAGGAGTTAGCAGTGCCGGTTTGACGGGCTTGAAACATAATTAGTTCTTCCGCATTTCGGCATTTCCTGGGGATTTCCCTGGCCTATGAATGGACCAAGGTGTACGGACGAGTCAAGCGCGTTGACATCGAAAGGGCAGAACAGAAGGCCTCACAGGGAGAGTTGAAGGCTTCAATGCTTCCTGGTACAACACGGCTTTGAGCCAGCCAGGGATAGATTTGTGAAAGTTGGACATGCGGGTAGACGAGTATCGTCTTGTTGGACGCGCAGCACTTGAGGCAAGACGTGCCATTGCTTCGACCTGTCTTTGACGATCCGAAGATTAGCCTCTTTGGAAGTCTCGAAGTCTCCAAATCAAATGACCAGAGAAACGAGAGCAGAAGCACTTTGTCTGGCTCGGCGACTGGTGACACTAAGACCTATGTTCAACTTGATTCTGCGAACCCGGCACCCGCTGTGCGACCCGTAGTTCTACATCCCCGATCCGGCCTGCCTTCGCGGCCCTCGCGGCCTCGCGGCCTGTGCAGGCAATGGTCCAGTTTGCGCTTGAAGAACATGTGCCTCAGAGCATTCCAGGAATCTTATTAGGTCTCAGCCAGCCCAATGTCCAGCTCCGAGCACAGCCTGTCGGCCTAAGCTAACAGTGATGCTTAAGAATACTGCATTTTCTGAAAGACAGACCTATCTTCCCAAGCTGAATTCGAGGGTTGCCCTCGTCTTTTTCATGTCCGGCGCTTCTGAAAGGTGCGATGGTGTGCGCCTTAGGCACGTTTCTCCAACTGAACCCCACTTCTGAAATCGCCAACGTCGGAATATTGCATGTTCTAACCACTCAGATGCAGTTGTGTATCTCCTTCGCCGGGCCTTGCCTCGCCCTTCTGGTTCTAACCCCAACTCCTGCGAGGCAACCTATCCTTCTTGCCGGTCATGACTCCAAAATCCCTAAAGCTGCAGCAGTCTACGCACTGGATTTCCCAATTGTTCACCCTCGACCTGGCAGTCTTGAGCTCCAACAGTTAAGGCAACAGCTGCAGCGGCTACCTTGCCAGGGACGCAAGCGTTTGCGCCGGGAATGAGGATCCGTTTTGGGCCGGTGGTCCAGAGCGTGGGGTGTGCTGATCTGAGAGACACTGAAGCCTGAGTTTTTCAACAATGATAGGGCACACCAACGTTGCTTTCTACACTGAATGCAACCGAGATTTCATGAGAATCCTCCTCTAGAGGTGTTTGTGTGGACACTCCCTTCTGGCAAGGATCTGTTTACCGTACTAGGCTTGGTCGTGATGGGAGCTTTGAGTCTGAGCTTGGGGTTGCTGAAGATCTACACACCTTCGGCACGAGACCATTTCCAGTTCGGCTATTGGACATGTTCCGGAACCTGTCATACTTCCGACATCTGCCGTTGCATCGCAGGATATGGCAGGGAGAGGACGCCGCCCGGCCGAGGACATGGGAACTCATCGGTCGAATGGCTCCAAGGGCAGCTCAGGAAACGTGAGACTTAAACTGGAGATGCCGAACACCACGAAGACGTTCCTTAAGCCGTAAACCCTTTGAACCATCAAGATAAACCCCAGGCCCAAGCCCGAGGTGCATGGCTGGTCCTACACAGATGCGGCCGCTGCCTGGGGCCACGTTCAGGCCAGGCTCCTTCAAAGATTTTTGCAATCATCTTCAATTGCATGTCTGCTCTACGTTTTGAAAGTTTTGCGAGGCATGAGGTCCAAGATTTCAGGGCTTCAGAGTGGGCTTCAGAGCGCGGGGGTTTAGTCCAGGGTCCGAGTCTTTGCAATCCGTGAGCTTGCGGTTCGCGGACTTGCCAGACTTCCAGGCAGCCTTGACAGTCGAGGCTTGTTTCGTTTCAGGCTTCAGGCTTCGGGCTCTCCTCCTGGCGTAGCAACTGCCGTAGTTCTTTCATGTTGCAGTACTGGCTGGAGCGGCCAGAGAGCGGGCACCTTTTCCCGAACCGCCACCACGGCGTGCAGAACATCCAGACACACTGTGTCCAGGTCTGCAAGGACAGTGTCACTGAAACCAAGATCTTGCTCTGGGCGACTGCCGGATTTCTCCTGGCCCACTACGGTTGAGACACAAGTTACTGACGGTGCCATGACCCAAATCTGGGCGTGCAGAGAGGCCCCAAAAGAAGGGGAGGGAGCTGGGGAGAGAAACAGAGCTCCAAAGTGTCCTACGGCCAAGGAGGATCATCAGGTACAGATAGCGCTTGACTACTGCAACGTTAGAACGAACCGTCTGCATTTTGCCGCAGTGAAAGATTCTCTGAATCCACAAAACGGCCGTGCGAACCCCAGGAGCATATCTTCTGAATCGCCCGTGGCTCGGCCAGGTCCCTTGGGAGTGGCATGCAGCCCATGCAGAGGCAGGGCTTCGAGAAGACAGAACGGTTGAGGCATGAGGCCTCCAAGTTCAGCTTGTTGATGTCTTCTGAAATGAAGCCTCTACCGGACTCTATCCGTTGGTATCTGCAGCTTCGGGTTGGGGCCTCGATGCATCCACGGAGAAGGTGGGGATGACCTCGGCCCCGGACAGCTTCCACGGTTCAGGACTCGCCAGCACGATCGGGTTTTGCGTTCTGGGAATAAGGGAGTGAGTGGTCACCGGAGTGGAGTATTGTGGTGTTGGTGGCGGGCCATCAGTCTCGCATGCAGGGTTCGGATTTGAACGCGGTTCCTCTGGGTTCACAGATTTGGTTCGGATGTCGGCTTTCAGCATTGTCGATCAGTGTGGACTTTTGATATTACTAAGTTTTTCGTTGTCTGCAGATCTTTGAGAGATGGGGTAGAGGGATAAAGCATGTTGTGGTGCTAGATGGCTTGAATCTTCGAAGTGGAAGGCTCATGGCTTTGTCATGGGTTGTAAGCTTTTGGCAGCTGGCTTAGGAGAAACAGCGCAAGAACGTTTGAGACGAACCCGATGCGCTCGCTTGGGGTGCTGCTAAAGTCGCAGAGACGACCCGTGTCCCCCAACCGAGCCCGCTGTTCACGAGGGGTGGCCCGAACTCTACACTTGTCGACACCGCAAGCAAACTCTGAAGCCCCAGTGCTGCCACGAGGTACCTTGATTAGATTCTCGAGTCCTGAGGTGTTTGTGGTGCTATTCTGTTTTGCCGCTTCAGTTGCAGAAGTGCATACTTGTACTTTGCATGCTGATGCTCCAGGATACTCGCCTCACTCGCAGCATGGCAGCTTCGATGGTGATGCGTGGGTTGCATCTCCCCACTCCCGGCCTTGTGGCGGTTTCTGAACCTTTGTGCAAAGCTAGTAATCTCAAGCGCAGCCGCCAGGCCCTCAATCCCGACATTTTCAGAACTGCTGCAGAAAAATTGTGTCACGCCCGTCGTGTCCTTTGATGTTCGGGTTCTTGATAGAACACCTCCCCCCCAAAAAGGCTCAAAGTTGCCACTTCGATGCTTAGGTTTTCGAGGGGGGGGGGGGTTCTCCTCTTCGCCTATTACCTGCTGCAGCCCCTCAATTTGTAAATGTCTCGATTTAAAGCACATGGGTGGAGAAAGCAGTAAGGGTTCAAGGTTGAAACTCCAAGTCAATATCTGCATTTTGTGGATGAGATCGAGTGTTTAGCGATTTGATGTTGCATTGAGCTTTGGAAAGTTTCGGTTCTTGAGATTGAGGTGGCGCGTCTGGTACGGCATTATGATCCTTAGAGTCTCATTTTCTCTTAAGGTGTGACATTTGTGTCTGCTTGGCCGTTTCTTCCAAGCGTCGGCGCGGCGGCGGCGGGGGAGCATGGACACAAGAACCGTGGGTTAAAAACATCCGTACGGGAGGCAACAGCACCCAACTTAGCCAAACATGACCAACTTCCAAGACTCTAGACCCTTGAAGCCACATGTTCAACCATGCAACAACCAGTGTCATAGTGGCCCTACCTACTTGAACCCAACAAAGAGCGCGCACATCCCGAGCTCCTTCATGCAGATACCCAACACGTCACCTCGCATTTTCCACATCCAACGGCATATTGTGCCTCTAGCTCTGCAAGCAGAGGCCATTTCGATCCCTAGAGTCGAGTAAATAACGATCGGGAAGGTCGAGCGACCTCACACACAGGGTTCACAGAAGTCAGAAACAGCCGTGATTGCTAGCAGCAGTGGCATTGGAGCCATGACGGCCGGGCCCCGAGATCGACTCACCAAGCTCACATGAAGTAGAGCCCAAAACCTTGGTCGACAACAGCACCAGTGGTCATGCCGGTAATTGCAGTAGGAGTGTAGCAGCAGTCGTGGTCAGGTGCAGTCACGGTTGTGGTCGCAGTCGCAGTATGAGAAGCAGTCACAGTGACAGAGCGGCAGCATGATGATGATGATGATGACGATGAGGATGAGGATGAGGATTACGATGACGACGGGAACGATGACGATGAGGATGAGAGCGTGCATGAGGGTCGCGAGAATGATCATGGTGATGGTCATGACGGTTATGATGATGATAATGATGATGTTGACGATGATGAAGAAGATGATGAAGATGATGATCATGATGATGATGATGATGATGAAGATTATGATGATGATGGTGATGATGATGATTATGAACATAGTGCTGAAGAAAAAGTTAGTAGGAGTAGGAGAAGCAGCAGCAGCAGCAGTGGTGGTGTTGCAGTGGCAGTGGCAGTGGCAGTAGTGGTGGTAGTATCACCAACAGTGCAGTATATATCCGCGGTAGCAACAAGAATGGCGTATCAGCACGATCCCGACATGAGCGCAAACAAGGCGCCTCCGCCCGGGTACCACGGCTGGGGACCGCCGCCGCACATGGCCGCTTCGACCTCAGAGTCAGCGTTTCGAAGTTTTGGCAGCTTCCGATGTGGACGTGCTCCCTAAATCATTTTTTCGGTCGCAAAAGACGCTTTTCGACAAGCGTGTCAAGCTTCCAGCAACATGCAATCAATGCAATCTTGATCCGTCAGACCCTGGCTAGCTCGTGCAAGGGCATGCGGCTGCGATTAGGAAGCATAGGCTTAAAGTCAGCTTTAGTTGTGAGGGCTCGGGCTGCCTTCAACGCAGTGCAGATGACATCCTCTCTTTTTGCCGGCTTTGGCTCTGAGCTCCGAACCTCTGAAGCTTCAGGGAAAAGGTGCAGGCCAAGCCCTGTTGCAACAGCCAAAAGTCCGAAACGTCGCGGGAGTCCAAAGCCTGCACTTGGAAGCTGTCAGGGCCCTCCGCACGTTGCACCGTGCGTGGCCTCGGATGAATCACGTGGCAGGGTTTTAGATTTCAAGGATTAGTCACAAGGTTTTTTCAGGCAGCGGCTAACTAACTACTGTACGCGATACTACACGCACTTCGGGGCACATCGAGATGATTTCGTGATTCAGCGATCGGGGTTTGATGTTTCAGGTGCCGCAGCCGGGAGTGCTACAGCAGGATTCTAGCATGCAGCAGGCAGCATGCGGGAAGCCATGCAGTAATGGGCGACAAGCCTCCGTGAGCGATCACAGTTCCCCCCCCAGAACCCTGCAGTTGTCCAGCGTTGAACACAGGGAACCTGGATTTCGGGCTCTCCGAGGTCTGGACTTCATGTAGGTTTTATCATTTATTCATGGCGATGCAGCATCCTCTGCAACAGCTGTCAATGCCGGACATCACCCTCCCGCCCATGTATGACTGCTGAAAATCCCACGATGGAAGATGCACACAGGTATCCACCCTCGCGCCCGCCGCCTTATCATTCACACCGTGCCACCCTTGGTCAGTAAGCCTGCAGGAGGCTGCAGACATAGAGCTCGCTTGAACTCCCTGGTTTAATCGTGAGAATGTCGGGTGTATGATGAGTCGATGCTTGGCACTGCGGCTTCCTCCTTCATTTATGTTGAGTGGAGCAATCATTGGTCGTTGGTCTCGATCTTCTGGGCCCTCTACATGTCATGTAACCTGCAGGCTCTGATGCCTCTACTGCCCCAGCCTGAAACTGTTATTGAAAGTATGCCCAAGCCAAGCACCGAGAGTGTGCTCAACCCTGAACCCTTTGCCGCACCAGGGGCTCCAAAGCGTTTGCGAGTTAGCGCTTCGGTTTGGGAAGAACGATCGCTGCCAGGTTTTGTTCAAAGTCAATACCCCATACGGGCTTCAAAAGCAATCCGAAGACCGTGACCCAGCGACAAAGCTCCAGACCGAAAGCAGAACAGCCGGGAGTTTGTAGCCTTCCCCGTGCAAGTTGATCTGGCGACAAGAAGACGTTTTGGACAAGAGGGATAAGGCACGCCATAAATCTTGCGCAGCAAAAAGAAGCAACACTCGCTCAGGTGGTCCTGCAGTGGCACGCTCAGAAGCCAGCAGTCGAACTTTGAGTTCTTGCAAGGACGACGCCTTCGCTCCTTCAGTGATTCGTTCGCAAGCGTTCTTTCCTCAATTGCGCGCGTCTCGTGTATGTTTACAGATAGTAAAATAGATTCTCAATCAGATTGTTCCCTATGCATATCCAGAGACAATATATACATACAACGATAGATACGTACTCGCACACACCAAAACTGCCCAGGATTCAAGTGCTCGAAGCTAGTCTCGCAGCTTGCAGCTTTTTGATGGCTTTGCCTCTCAGGCGTCTCCATACGGGCCGCCGCCAGGCTACCACCACTACCCAGGCCCGACCTGCGACGGCAACCTACGACGGCTTCGGGGTGGTCTGAAAGCCAGATCATCAGGTTTTGGAGCTGCAGGATAAAGGATGAGGCTTGAAATCGACCGAACCCTTGTGGCAGGCTACCCGCCGAGGTATGGGCCTCCTCCAGAGGCAGCGCCGCCTGGCAAGGGTCTGGCAAGGGAGTGCGCATGGCAGCATGCTGCCTTCCAGTGCGTGTACAAGACATTGGTCATACACCTGCCAGCGCTTCGATGCAAAGACCTCCATGAAAGGGACCGCCGCCGAACTACCGCGACCGGGGGGCATCCTCAGCGCCGCCTTCGGTCTGGGGCACGGCTTCCCGTGGCTTCGGAGGCCTTGAGGCCTTCAGGGTCGACGCTCATCTGGTCTATTCTTTCCGCTACTCTGCGGCCTCAAACCGGAGCTTCAGCCTTCCATCTTTACGAGGTTTGAATTGGGATCCGGAGTTGCGGAGATCTGTTTTGCAGCTTGGTTCGATCCTATGCCCTCTACTGTGTTGCAGGACCTTGCTGCAGCGCTTGAACCCTGAACCGAGATAGCTGCGGACAGCCTCAGTCCTCAATCGTGCACCGAACTCCCACGAGCAGCCCAATCGGTCTACCTGAGGACCGAAGTCCTGATCCAAAAACAAGCTAAAGACAACTGAAGCTCTGAACAGACGTGCACCTTGCAAGCAAATGCACGCGACACGGATTTCGCCAGATCTCCTGAGCCTTGCCTTGACAGCCACACCAAGCGATGCTCTGCCTGACTCCCGAAGATCTCTAGACCCCGCAGCCCCATCAGCTCCTAGTCATGTTGTCATCTCCGCCGTGTCTATTGTTGTGCTTTGGGCTTGGAGAACCATGAGCATGAGCATGAGCATGTTCATGCTTGCATGCTTGCATGCTTGCTTGCTTGCTGTTTGCGGCTTGCCTGCTTGCTGGTTTTTCTGTGCGTATTCTTGTAGCCTTCCTGTATGAATTCTAGTTACCCGTCAATTGCCTGTCAATGAACCTCCCCCGAAACTAGCGAGTCGGTCGCTGAGGCTGGACCCGGCGTCAGCAGCCCAGCCGCGGTCGGGGATCGAACTATAGAGACTTTCGCAGCTTTCAGGCTGTCGGATGTAGTGTTTCAAGCCGCAGCACCGTCGATTGTTTCATGAATGTTTGTTCGTTTTGATGTAGGCTTGCTGGCTCTTCAATACCCCGGGTCTCGACAACGAGAAAGGCTATCACGATGTAACTTCTCTCAATTTTCCGGCACATGTCACCGGAGTCGTTCTTAGCCTGGCGGCACTCCAGGTATGCACTTGGTATTACGATTATTGCACACCCAGGTCGCTGCCAGGTGCCAATCCTTGCAACGTGTCGCAGGATTTGTCGGAGATATGCCCTCTATTGACTGGTGCCTGATGTGAAGAGATGATGGCTGGAACTGGAACGTCATGCCTTGCAAGTTGTTTCTTCAAGATCCTGGAACTTGGAAAAAGGATTTCTGAGCCTTGACGCTTCAGCCTCCACAGGCTAATCCTAAACCTGGGCGCTTCAGGGCTTGAGGAGGACGGTCAGCAGGGCAGGGGTGATTTCTGCGAAGCTGAAACCAGGGGAACTATGCCGAGGAGAAGCCGGGGGCCCGGCCTGGCCCCGTCCGAGACTGGTTACAGCTTTCTTGGGCGTTTGGCTTCAAACTTAGTCAAGATCTTAAGGCTTCTGGGTTCACGCCTCTGCGGCTGGTGAGACGGCATCGGCTAATTAGTGGGGTAAAATCAGGGAGTGCTGCCAGTGTTCTCGGCAGGCAAACAGTGCTCCGGGCTTGATCAGATGCGCTCTGAAGGTCAATCTGCTGCGAGATTTGAGTGAACCAGGCATTGCTTCTGGACTTGGGCTGCGTGTTGTAATGTGCTCTCTTTCCACATGTCGGCGAGATTCCTGCCGGCCGGGTAGCCTGTCAGGCTCACCCGTTAGAGGCTCAAGACCATTAAGAATCCCGGATGCTCACTCGAAGGCCTCTTACAGCTCTAGCTTCAGGCCAGCAGCATATGCGGCCTTCAAGGAACAGGCCGTCCGGATGAGCTCCGCAGGGGCGGAGGCAGCGCTGATTGAAGTTCAGAGTCCAGGGGCAACGAGTTTGCAGAGTTGGGATGTTTGCTTGCATTCACAAAACGCACCAGTCCAGGCTGGAATAGTACAGTGTGCTACGTACTTGTAGGGCAAGAACTTTCCAGGGCAGTTGGGTTTAAACGTTTAACCTCTGAGTTGGATATCCCTTCCGCATGATACTACACGGAAGGCGTCAAGGATCCGCGTGGCGTGTCGGTGCTGGGATAAGGTGTTGGAACAGACTATCCTTGCATTCGTGCCAGATTGGACTCTCCAAGGGCATGTGCCAGGACAGACATGCCACAGACTCGGTGGGAAGCTTCGCGTCGGGTAATGAGTCAAGCAGGCCTCGGGCATGTGATTTACCCGGGCGCTATGCCACACTTCCGAATCTCCCTGAGATGACGACCATCGATGTAGCTGAAAGGATCGAAAGGGACTCTAGTACTTGAGATCTGTGCAAGCAAGAGCCATGAGAAATGTCGAAAAATCGCATTGCTTCTCCGCACTATCAATGTTGGTTAAAATAGAAAACACACCGTGACATGAACGACTCAAACACGCATTTGAGATTTGAAATTTCCCGATTTACCGAGTGCGACGTTTTATCGGGCATGCTTGAGTGGGTGAAGGCTTGCGGGCTCATTTTCAAGGGCCCGCGGAGACAGACAGACAGAGAGACAGTCAGAGAACCATGTCTTTTTCCGAGCCCCTGCACAGCCCCCAAACAAGGGCGCGCCTCTCGGCGCGGGGAGCTTGACACGCTCCTCGAACCAGACAGCCATACAGTGTTAGAGAGGGCAGAAAGACACGCATTGTTGCATGTTTATACCGGTGTTCGTAGAAAAAACTCCTAAGCAAAGTGGACATTCTTTGTTTGGTGCTATGCATTCCTGGAACCCGAAAGGTGCAACAGCGGCCGAAAAAGAAGAAGAAGAAGCAGAAGCGAGAAAGAGACAGAGAGAGAGAGAGAGACGGACACAGGGACTTTGAGTGGACGCGGGAGGGGTCCCTGTCTATGGCGCCGGCTACGGCAAGCCCAGTCTGTTGGAGTCAAGTTTCTTTTCAAGGGTGTGGTCGGGCATGTGTCAATCCGAACCTGTGTGTTGGCAATCAGGTCAATGACTTCCTGATGTGCCTGAGTCTCAGAGCCGATATGTATGTCTTCCTGTACGAGAGCACGTTGCAGCATGAAGCCCGCAATTCTCGAGCGTTCTTGTGATCCTCAGTCCCGTAGCCGTATCGAAGAGGTGGAGAGTGCACTGCACCTTCACATGCGGCCAGATACCATGTTGATAGACCTCCACCTTGTAAAGGCCTACGACGGTGGATATGCCTTACGGGATTGAGAGTTCAGGAGAACAGCTGAGCATAAACCAGACTCAGGTCTGGAACTATGTGTAACTTGCATGGCCGAGCACTCTTCCTTGAAAGAGAGTCTGGCAGCTCCACAGTTCGGGATGCATTGCCATTCTGCCAGAACAACCCGAACACGAACTGGAGGAGCATGGACAGCTTCAAGACTTCACGCCATTTAACGCCACCATGACGGCCTCCACACAGCCCGTTTAAATCAGGGAGGAAGGCATCGCTGAGTTAGTAACTTACTCTAGCATTCTACGATCCTGCTCCTACATAAGCCGCCTCGAGACTCGAGACTCGACTCCAGAGCCACGTCGCCGCGTAGGCTTTCAGTGTTGGCTTTGGCGGACGTTCGGCGATCCACGGAGCAGCGGCACCTCGGCATGCGATCCTCGTCCTAGGGTTTCGGTCGGAGGACCGATGCTGGTTTTATTTCGTTTGACATCTATTTGCAGCTTCCTGTGCGCACCACGGGCTGTCAAAATGCAGACATTGGCGCGGCCAGCGAAGCATGCTCTCGAAGGTCCTGTATGGTGCCTGTGCGGCAGCCTTTCCCAGTTGGAACGCAGCCACATTTTGCATCTCCAAAGGTGGAGCCGAGACCCTTCAAACTCCTGAGCCCGAGAGCCCCTACGCCCCCTAATGAGACCAAGAACCCTAAACCAAACACAGGCCCAAACTCTACAAGGGGAATTCCGGAAGAGCCCAGGCCAACCCTGGAGGCTGAGGAGGCTCGACCTGTCACGGAACAGCCTGTCAGCTCGGGGCCAAGTTGGGGTGCGTTTGAAAACGAAGGGTCCTCGTGAACGAGGTCCGACCCAAGTGTTTTTGACTCGTTGGCCTCGAGGAGAATAGACTAGACACTCAAGTTTCTCAGGTGTGCAGCCTGGTTGATGGCGCACATATTTGTTATAATGTCGAAATTCTGAGACGGCACATCGACGATTGCTTGAGCATCCATCGCCAACCCAGCTTTGAATTGCAAGTACTTGGGCTACAGGAACGACTTTGTATTGTTTGCACAACTGTGTTAAGGTTCCTTCTTTCCCTAAGATCCTAAGTCGAGGGTTGTAGAGTTGATTGCTTGTACCGTTTTTCCGAGATGTAAGATCTGAGCGCCATAATCATAAGTCTTACGAGTGAGAGGACTTGGGGGTTTCCAACAACTCTGTGTTTATATGCGTGTGTATGCGTATGTATGTGTGTGTGTGTTTGTTTTTGTTTCCGTTTAAGTTCGTGCCTCCTGCGCGCACAGGTTTGCTTTCCGAGCCTCTGCGAGGGTTTGGGAACTTTTTTGCACCGTTTTCTCGGAGTCTAGGCCCTTGGCTTCTTGATGTAGACCCGTCGAGTTGCTAGCAAGGGATCGCCTTGGAAGGCTTGTCATCATGTAACAATACTGGCTCAAAACAAGACATGCCCATGCGCTGTACTCTACGCAAGTCTTCCAGCGAAGCTTAAGCGAGCTTATCTCGTAGGGAGTTTGGACCACGGAGCCTCGGCCTGAACTGGCACGCACAGCTGAATCCCCTGAGCAGCTGCGCACATATTGAACACAAGTGCAAAAGACCGAGACCCGATTCCGGACACCAGCATGTGAAGATTCAACCACTCGATCTTGCTCCCAGAACCACAGAGAGCCACAATCATTCTGGAAAACTTTCAGGATGAGAATCTCTGTGCTGTCCTGAACAGCATGAAGCAGCTCGACCTTCGGGTGGGCAGGGACTTTGGGGCACGGGGCCGCAGTTTTGTTCAGCTTAGGCGGGTACACGGGCACCTTAGCCAGAGGAGTTCAAAGTTCTGTTGCCCGAGCGTGTTTTGTTAGCTAACCCTGGCGGAGGACAAATGTGATCTAAATTGAAGAACATGCTACTCGGAGTTGGGATGCTTGAGGCTCGAGTACACGTACAACAGCTCAGGAAGCATCAGTGTGGTTGCAGTTTTTGCATAGAAGCAGTGCGAAGAAGTGCTTCTCCATTTTTACTTCAAAGCGGAATTGCCATAACTTTAGTGCCTTTTTCTTATGTGTGTGCTGTCCTGTCCATTGTAGTCAATATGTTTGTGTTTCGTCCGTTACCGGCCCAGTCAAGCTGTTTGTTGCCAGTAGCCTTTCTTGCGTGACCATTATCATAGTGAGAATCTCCGAAATCCGGATCAGGTGGATCGTGTGTTGCTCTCGGGCAACCGGCTGCGGGCCTCCGGCTTGTCGTCTGTCACGGAGCCTCCTGACAGCATGGTACTGCATTATCTGCATTGACGATTTACCGCTGCCGTGCCATTACCACTACTTAAAACTTATGTCATGATTCTTGATTGCTGCTGCCTCTTCTGCGGCTGCTGCCACTCCTCCTACCTACTTCTGGTCCCACTTTTACTGCTCCTATGGGACTGCTGTGCTACGCCTACGCCGGCGCCTACGCCTACACGTGCTCCTCCCACTCCTAGTCCTGCTCCTACTCCCACTCCTACTCCCCCTACTCCTACTCCCACTCCTGCGCCTGCTCCTACTCGTTTGCCTGCTCCTACTCCTGCTCCTTTTCCTACGCCTGCTCCCACTCCTACTCCACCCTATCCCTGCCCCTACCCCATGCCTGCGCCTCCTCCTACTCCTACTCCTACCCCTACTCCTACTCCCCTACTCCTACTCCTAACCCTACTCCTACTACTACTCCTACGCGTACTACTACTCCTACGCGTACTACTACTCCTA